AAAGGTTTGTGAATCTAGACCAGTCAGCCTCCTTGAAGTTCCAGCCATGTGACCAGAACCAGGATCGTTGGCACTTTCCTTGTCATGCTTTTGCTGCCGATGGTAGAATGACTGGTTTGTGACCAGAACCAGGATCGTCAATTATTGTGCGGTGACTGGTTTGTGACCAGAACCAGGATCGTCAATTATTTCACGGACTGGTTTGTGACCAGAACCAGGATCGTCAATTATTTTGCCTGTGACCAGAACCAGGATCTTTTGCTGCCGAAGGTAATACTAGCAATGACTGCTTTGTGGCCAGAAGCAGGATCGTTAGTTATTTTGCGGCGTGTATGCTCGTTGATGTCTCTTGAAGCCAAGGGTAAGTCAGGAGTTGTTCTGGTTCCATCGTAGTGCAAATATGTAGCCGGATCCTCATTGCTGTAAATAAATTCCAGAGGGTTGCTGTTTAGCATGTCTTCGATTTCCTTTCCAGCTATGTTTGTATCCTTATAGCCCAATCTGGTGGAATGGGCGTTGAAGTCTCCTAATACTACAGATTATTTCGCATATGTCTTGCGTCGAGACCATACTCTTGATTAGATCGTAATGTGAGGCGAGGCCTTCTTTATCTCCAGTCAGAATTCCACTTGCAACTTGCCGGTATTTAAGTAAAAGGTACAGGGTGTAACCTGGGAATTGATAATACTTCAGTTTGTCATCCGAAAGGTTTGCTTCCATGATTGTGAAAATGTTTACATCATAGGTTTGTAGAATTTTCTGGACTTGGATCTTTTTGTCCTGCGATATCCTTCCAGCATTCCACTGGAGGAACTGAAGACGTGGTGATTTGCCCTGACGAGGGCGATTTCTCTTATAGCCTTTTTCGAGCTGATCATAATAAATAGAAGTCAAATCAAATGCCGAGTGGCAAACTTTTTTGCTGTACGAAGATGCGTTGTCCAGGGTGCACCACGTGGAGGTAAGTCTATCGCGCACCCCTTGTCAAAAAGATGAAGTGGCCTTTGATTTAAACCTAATTAACTTCTTTCATAAAAGGGCAATATTAATTGAGGTCGCGTGATTTGGAGGCAATTGACTACATTTTCACTGGGGTGAGCGGATAATCCCGAATGGTATGTTTTGGACTTATGCAACAATGCTATTGAAATTTGCATCACTCATAAATGCATTGCCTGGTTTGTAACATCTCAAAAATTAATTAATTTATTTATTTGTATCGAATGGCAGGCGTTTTGATAGTTATAATTAGCCCTTTAGTTGACTTCAGGCTTTATGGAGGGGAGGAGGAACATCAAAGTGAAAAAATTCGAGAGGGAGAGGGGAGTCAGAAGATTGTTTCAAAGATGTAAAAAGAGACAGACACAAAGGTAGAGGGGAGGGTAAGGTGAGTATTGTGAAAACGGTCGAATATGGCATACTGTGGGGTGATGGTAGTTTGAAATCATAAGTCAACTGCCAGTTAATGGACTTTTTGCCGTATGAGTATGCGTTGTCCAGGGTGCACCACGTGGAGGTAAGTCTATCGAACACCCCTTCTCAAAAATTAATAATGGAATTTATTACTTTTCAAGTGCTTTTAGGGTTACATTTACGAACTCACACAACAATTTAAAATTTTCATTTATAATTTTTTTACGAATTTGTTTTTCCATTGCCTTTCATTTCGGCTAACCATAATTGCCACTAAATTTTCAGGAAAAGAAAATTTCGTCCCAAGTTATTCAAGTCTTAAAAGCTGAAAATAGGCCAAACGAAACCACATTGGAACAATGCAAAGCGCGTATCTAATCTGTATAGATATTTCACCAGTTTGATACCTGCCAATTGATTTAACGTCTTGAAAGACAGTTTATACAAAGCCTTACCTCTTTGATGACAAATGAAATTTATTAGAACAGGAAGATAGAAACATAAAGCATGTCTTCCAATCAGCCTCATTTGATTCTAGTAGAATTTTACCTCATAAATAGAGTGCTAAATGCAATGCTCAATTGCCATACATAATGCTTGTGTAATTCGACCAGATTTGTATATCAGATATCGATAAACATCGTATTTCAGTACTGAACACAATTTTTTATCTAATCATAAAAGTGCATTCATTGAACGCAAGTGCGCAAAAGGAAATTGAGCCAGTTGTTGGTATTTGAGAGTGAAGGTTGTTTGTAACTACATTTTATAATTCCTCCGTTTTAAAAAAAAACAGTTCAAATTCAAAGTTCTCATGTTCAAGAATCCATTAAATTTAAGAACTGAATGGAGAAGACGGTCCCACCTTAAGAGTTACAGCTCCACAGCCTATTGTGGACTTAGATCACAGCTAGAGAAACATTACTTCCAGTTTTGATAATCATTTCTGTTGTTTTCATGTATTACTGAAGGGAAGGAAGGTTTACGGGATGGGGTTGGTGTATATAGGTAGGTTAAAGGGGGGGGGGGTTAAAAGATTACTGTAAGCCATAGACAAGTAGAAGCTACATGCTTTTTCCTGAAAATGCGCTCCCATCGAATTGATGCATGTTCTCGGAGGGACATATGATTAGTAGAAGGCAAATTTGCAACAAAACAAAATCGCCTTGTGCAGAATGTAGGGAAAAACGGTCGGTAATTGTGCAATCGCATGAAGCGAAATTAATTTCTTTTGACTAAAATGCAAGGAGTTACATCTATTAACCAGTGAGAAAGGAAATCAAACAGGCATCCGAAAGAGAGGATGTGCTAACCTAGCTCTTCATTTGCTCCTTAATAAATAGCTAAGATGACCTTGAAATGGTAATTAGATTTGGTGGAATTTGCCTAAGACCACTCGTTGCTTAATAGAGAGTCAGGAAAAATAAATTGCCAAACGATCAGTGATAAGAGCTTAAAATAGATGTATTGATCAAAACGCTATTTGAAATAAGTCCTGAACACCATCAATATTTACACGATTCAGTGTAAAATGAAGTTAGCTCGGATGGATTAATTATTCAACTGATTTAAACATAGTTTAAGCAGTAGTTATGATCGGAATCCACTCCTGGTTTATATTTTTAACTGTGGCTCTCAAAACATGGTCAATTTAATTGACATCCATGGTGCCTTACAGCGCTCTATTTGTAAGCCTATGCTTACGTTAAGGGGTGTGCGATAGACTTACCTCCATATGGTGCATCCTGGGCAACGTATATTCATACGGCAAAAAAGTCTACCAAACCGGCAGTTGACTTCTGATTTCAAACTACCATCACCCCACTCTATGTCATATTCGATCATTTCCACAGTACTCACCTCACCTTTTTCCACTTTGTGTCGGTCTCTAATTCATCTTTGAAACACTCTTCTGTACCCCCCCCCCTCCTCTCGACTTTTTTTTTCACCTTTATGTTCCTACCTCTCTGTGATGCCTGAAGTCAATCAAAGGGCTTATGATAACTAACAAAACACCTGGTATTTGATATAAATAAATTTATATTTACGTACATCTCTTTATACATGCCTAGTGTAATGACTGATAAATTGATATATTCGCACAATATTTAACTGTTAATTAATCTCATTTAAGTACATGTCAAATCAAAAAAAATGAGTTTTATGTCAGTCTAAGACAGAAGTTAAATCAATTTAACCCTCTAAGATATTCGCATATCTCCTAATATGCAATTATGTAAGAATTAATAGAGACTAAATCTGTTTTTATTTCCCAAAATTGTAAATAATCGCTCCTGTCTATTACCCCGGGGTTAGAAGATACGGTTTTTTGCTTGACAAGGTTTAGCAACCAAAAAAAACTGTTGCTTAAATACCGCAACTAGCCGCCTATAAACCCTACATGCGCAATTTCAGACAGCATGATGGCTGACTTGAACTTGCAATTCGGCCCATTTCGCCTTGTCAACACATGGAAGAGCCGAGATGGAAATCGGTTAATAGTTCACGAGACAGGAGAGTTAGACAAGCTCGCCGTGTAGTGTTTTTGGGTTTTTAAGCCCTATTTGTTAACAGAAACAGTCTCCAAAATAAACAAACCTCAGAAATTTGCTTAAAGTACGACAGTCAACAGTCCGGTAATTTTCGCCTGTCTAGGGCAAAGCGGCTTTCGGTTCACCCCCCTATCGCTTACTAAGAGACTAATTTAATAAAGAAATAAGCAGAAACGAGACGCACGGGGATGTTCGTTGAGGCTGTTGCTTCAAGAAATAATTGAAATCTTTAGCATTTACTGCGTCTTAATAATTTTGTAATTTGCCTATGGGGTGTGTGATAGACTTACCTCCACGTGGTGCACACTGGGCAACATATACTCATACAGCAAAAAGTCTATAAACTGGCAGTTGACTTCTGGCTTCTAGCTACCATGACCCCACTGTATGTCTAATTCGACCACTTCAACAGCTCTCATCTTACCTTTTCTCTGTCTTTGTGTCACTCTGTCCCTTTTACATCTGTGCATCACTCTTCCTTTCCCCCTCATTAATTTTTCTCACTTTGATCCTCCTCCCCTCGGCGAGGTTCGAAGCCAGCTAAAGGGCTAATGATAACTATTAAAATGCCTGCCATTTGAAATAAATAAATAATTGGTCAATGAATTGTTTTAATCCTTACTGGCAGAATGCATTTATATATTTAATGGGTAGATAAAAAAGCTCAGATTAATACATTTTCGTTGCCTCAACGATATTATCATATTATTTTGTTGGTCCTTCCTTGTCATTTTAAGTATAGTAATCAATTTGAAATCGGTTATCGGAAATTGGGAGCAATCTTGCATGGTGTTCAATTTTTCATAGAAAAGTTATATCGATTTTCAATTCTAACAATTCCACAACACTACCATTTTTAATTGCTTAATCGAATTGCATTAACGACCCCTTGATTAAGTTTCAACGTCTTTGGCCATTTTATTGGACGTCCATACTTTAATTCAGCTACAGATCGAAAATGAATTATCTCTTAACAGAACATCATCTGCCTTTGTGAAATGAGGTTACTTTCTTAACTAACCAAACGTCATGTCTTTGTATCCCAACCAGACTGATTTTAGCTCTGTGCTAGATTGGCCAATCAGCAAAGAGAATTGGTAAGGTCATTCGCCTGACAATCTTCCCTGGGCAAAGTGCGTATTCGCTGTTGCGACTATATAATGCGCCGAGCCGGAATTGGTGGACTTACATCAACCCGGTCTAATGGAAAAAAGGAAAAATCTAAAAAATTTGGTAAGTTTATTGACTTTTTATTATCTTTTCACCATAATTCCTTCTAATATTAAAATGTGTTCAGTGAATGGGAACTTTATTGACGTTAATAGTTGTTTTCCTCGTAAATTTCTGCATTCAGAAATAATGCCTTCAAATTACACAAGAATCATTATGAAAGGGTACTTTTGGCAACATTTATTCTAAAGAAAGTCAAATTTGTTTTGCAATTCCACGATATTTCATACCACTAAATAGCTGAAATGAAATCACACATGATTCTCTTAAATACCTCAAGTAGTTCAGTTAGCTGAAAATGTTACAATGCAACTTTACCATATAAGTGAATTAAGATTAAACGTTAAACAGGTAGCCTAGTCACTAACACTAATCTAAAGTGCCTTACCTTGTCAATTTTTATCAATTTAAGTTATTTTTAACTGAAAAGGAAACACGTGCTCTTTATTTACAGTATACTGAAATGACCTTGTCAATACCAATGGCTGTGTACTTTAAACTATTAGTTCAGACTTTGTAGCACATGCCAGTCGGAAATTGCATCAACAGGAATTTCCTCCTAAGCTTTCTGCCATATTGTTTTTTTCATGCAGAGAAAGGGTGCATTATGCACTGCAATCACTCTGAACACAACTAATTAAAGGTTGGTGAACCTTGGTAGTTGAAATAAAACTCTCTTTGGACACACATTAGTCGAATAAAGCAGAAATTCTCCGCACAACCGACATCTATTTTTGCGTAAGCGGGTGTTCCCTTTTGTGTAATTATTCTAAAAGTGAAGGGGAAAACGAGAGACAAGGACGCGAAAATCGCTCCCTATTTTGTAAATCTGGTAGAATTTGAAAATTATACAACCCCACGTGTCCAATCTGGAATAATTGATAGGAGCTTAGAAAACTGAACATTTAATGATTGCCATCTTAATGACACCAAAGATATTTCATTAATGATTATGGTTTCAATCTTTTCATTAAAGATAGCCACCTACAAAAGTCTCTAAGTTCAGTAGGAATATCTATGAATAGCGAAATAGGAGCTTAGAAGTATGAGGCTATCAGGGGGTGGGTGGGGGTTGAGGAGATTGAATGTAACCGTTTTTATTGGGTTTTAAAAGTATTCCATAACACTTAAATGTTGAACAAATTAAGAAAATATAAGTATGCAAAAGGCCTATTTAAGAAATTACGTTCATATTTTACTACAACGCTGACATTTACCGAATTTCCAGGATGAAATGGCTAGCATTGCATGCACATTGGCTAAATTCATTGGCTAACACACACACAGTTCTGCACTAAGATCATATACAAGCTGAATGAACTGCCCCCCCCCCCGTTTATTTTTCAGGAACTTATTCTCCGTCAGCAACAAATCGTCCAGCGCCTCCTCTATTACCTCACCCTTGATGAATGGCTTCAATTTGTCGGTGCCTTTCCCCAATGGAATTACAGTTTTCCCCATGAAATCAATCTCGCGGAGAATGGCTCTCCGCTCCTATTTTTCCTTCTTCGTAGACAACTTACCCAGCGAATTCATTCACTTCGTCTCATTAGCCCTGGTCCTGTTGTTAGAGGCGGTGCAATAGGAGCTATTTATAAGTGCATTCTATCCAGTCCAATGGCTTTCAGTCGCCTTCAACGTCTAGATTTGAGCATTCAAATGCAACCGATAGATAAGTTGCTTGCAATCTTTTCAACGCCAGCCTTTCCACATCTACGCTATCTCTCTGTTCGGCCAACAGATCCAGATTGTGATAACAAGCCCTGCTACGTAGCGCCTCAATGCCTCTTCGCACCACCTCAACTGGAAGTAATGAAATGTCATCTAACGGATTTTTATGCCGACGATAGGGAAGAATATATTCCAGGCCTCCTACAGGTCATTCAGAACTGTGTCCACCTTACGGTTTGTGAAAGAATGATTGGAGGTACCCCATGGTCACAGTATATTCGACAAGTTGGTCCTTTTGGCAATCTGGAAACCCTTCAAATTGATGATAAGAGCGAATTTCTGAAAACCCTTAATGAAATGTTCTTTAGCAAGGAATGCTCATATTTCCCTAAGCTAAGATTTGTAAATATAGGCACCATTTCAAGATTAGAGTCGACAACTATTTTTGATTATAGCTTTCTTGGTCCATTAGAGATCTCCTTTACGGGGTTCGGTCAACCAATAGATCCAACTTGCGCCCTATCAACAAATGAGCCGATTCAAATCGGTCGGAGAGCTTTTGCAGGCAAAGGAGTAATCATGCTTGAGCTGATATTCCTTCCTGACATTAGCAATGTATCCAGTTCAACAAATTTGGCTTTCTTAGATCAATTCGGGCATATGATTGAGACTCTGATTATCACTGTACAACATATTCAAATTCCAAGCAATTCTCTCGAATATTTTGGTTTCCTGAAACGACTTAAAACCCTCTGCCATCTTTACCTCCTTTCGATTTTAAAATTTACTTCCAGATCTCTGAAAGCCATTGAATTTCCTGCTGAATTTGTCGATCCCCGAGACGTTGACAGTGAATTTGAAGCTCTCTTGGCATATCACCGAGGATATTTCACAACTACCAAATCGGTATCCATTACATCTCCCCCCTCATTCCCTTTTTGTAACCGAACACTTTGGCACTCGTGCCACTGCCTTAACAACATTCCTCACACCCAGCCTTATAAGAATCTCTGTGGACTCTTTCCATCTCTCGAAGAATTGGTCATTACATCTGATAGCCACCTTGATCCTGGGGATTTACAGGACGTTGTCACGTTGTGTCCTGAATTAAAACGCCTCTACATTCATCGATGGCCGGTGTCTCTTGAGGCCTATGCAAGTGCAATTCAAGAAATCCTCTCCGCCTGCAATCTTGAGGTTCTTTGTCTCGTGGTCGATTCCCTTCGAATTCGCAGTGGGAATTCGGAGCGTTTACTGTACCCACGATCATGGAGTCTAAAATATCTTTACATCGACTGTATCTACCAACCGTGCTTAAGCAAAGAAGAACTCAGCAGACTGGCTAAACGACTGCCGAATGCAAAATGGATAACTATTGCTAACAGAGAGACGTCCAGGTGTCTTGAGTTTCGACGAAGTAAAGCCGCTGAAACGATAACTGAGATGCGTCTTGATTCTGGAAGACGTGGGCGAGAACCCAGAGCATTCGCACCCGAACTATTCGATGTTGTGTGGAAAGAGGAGGAGAAGATGAAGTATTTCATCGCTGAATGGTGTCATCGCTGTGAAGCATAATTTCTTTCCCTCAATCCAATCACCCTTCCCAATATTTTACAATCTCAAGGCAAGCATTTTCCTACCAGACTTCGAAATGACCTTAGTTTCTTGTACTATCACACACTTTGGTATATGTTGATAATTTAGATACCATGGAAAATACCATCTTCTGTATGTATTAAATTTTATTTATGGTGAAAATTTTTTTTGTGGCTTTTGTCGAAGGGATAATTAGGGGGGCCTGGTTTCAACAGCGAAGCGCAGGTGTTGCCATTTGTGCCCTTTCGATCAATATTTAGGAACAGATGTTTAAGAGGTGGGACAATCTCCAGCTGCCTTTTACGTTATTTTCAAGTATTCGGTTTGTGAAAAGACCAACGAGTCAGGAGATTGAGGTTTGGCATTGAGGGAGGGGGGAGATGTTGCATAAGATACTGACACCTAGATAGCAGTATTCATGCAATTTCACCACAGTACATTACTTTAGGCATTAGTCTCCCCCTCAAGGTGTCTAGTCTTGGGAGTAAAAGTCTTTGAGAGAAAATAGGGGCGCTTTCCGTGGTCTGGGAATGGAATCTATCTTTTATTAGAGTGGAAAAATTGCCTAGCCATTATTCACCTCGTATTTTTGCCCAGAATAATGTGAAAATGGCAAATTTTAAATGAAATGTATTTGGTTTCTATGTCCAAATGATTTAGTTTCTAAAGGCAGAGGTCAAAAATTAATGCTTTTCAGAACTTTCATACTGACGTGTTACTTCTGGGCACATGAGGGTTAGTAGAACTGGGACTCCAAACAGGAAACCAATAAGTTGCTCCATGATTTGAAACAAGTTTAATTGTCATAAACTCTAATCATCGCCTCATGCTTTAGTCCTTTTCGTATTGATTCAAAATGAAAGGGTAGTTCACATGTACTTGTTACATGTTACATAACTACATGAACAGGCATCGACTTATTCTCGAGAATCTCTACGGCCAGAACCCCCCCCCCCCCTCAACAATATAGGAGAAACGGATGTTGGTCATCGATCCTAGTCATAAAATTACAACGATTGGCATGTTGGACAATCCAGGGACTGTTAGATGGTGTCGGGATGAGGGGAGTCTGCGCTCATGACGCACTTGCTCATTACACGCGGTAGGTAGCACGATCACACCTTCGAGATTTCTTTGTGGGAGTGTGCGGTAGACTTACCTACACGTGGTGCACCCTGGGCAAGGTCTACTCATACGACAAAAAGTCTATCAAGCCGGCAGTTGACTTCTCACTTCAAACTAACAGCACCACACTGTATATCGTATTCGACTACAGCCACAACACTCACCTCACCTTTCTTCTACTTTTTCGTCTGTCTCTTTTACATCTATGAAACACTCTTCTGTTCCC